AATAAAAATTAATTTTGTTACTACGTGAAAACCTCTTCGTGAGATAGACATTCCACCTAACACAACCATGATTGCCTCCACCAACATCATGCTTCCCACTATGGGGGTGTATAATTACCATGGGAACAATGCATAAAACATAAAAACCGCAAGCGTAAAACATGGAGACGATCTCATGTTCTCTAAAATTTGAAATTTGAATCATGGCACGTGATGGCCGATTGGATGCATAGAATCAATGGTCAAGATGCGTAGAAAAGTTTTTTGCGCGGACGTTGCATAGAAATTAGTGGTTGGATGAATAAAAATTAATTTTGTTACCTCCTAAAAACCTCTCCACGAGATAGACATTCATCTGTAATTGTCTCAACCAACATCACGCTTCCCCGGTGGGGTGTATAATTAATATGTGAACAATGCATAGAACTTGATGCCGCAAGCATAAAACATGGGAACGATCTTATCTTCTCTAAAATTTGAAATTTGAATCATGGCGCGTGAGGGCCGATTGGATGCATAAAATCATTGGTCAATATGCGCATAAGAGTTTTTGGGGTCGACGTTGCATAAAAATTAGTGGTTGGATGAATAAAAATTAGTTTTGTTACCACGTAAAACCTCTCCGCGAGATAGACATTCCACCTGACACAAACGTGATTGCCTCCACCAACATCATGCTTCCGACTATGGGAGTATATAATTAACATGGGAACAATTCATACAACATGGAGACCGCAAGCGTAAAACATGGAGACAAGCTCGTCTTCACCAAAATTTGAAATTTGAAAAACAGCAAGTGACGAACGATCGGATTCATAAATCAATGGTTAACATGCACATAAACGTTTTTGGCGCCGAATTGCAAAAAAATAGTAGTTAGATGAATAAAAATTAATTTTCTTACCACATAGAAATTAGTGTTCTAACAGTGTATATAACTGTATAACAACAATGTATATAATTGTGTACAAGTGCACAGATAACTGCTCCAATAATGTATGCATACCAAGTTACAGTTTAGTCATGGATAGAAACTTATACACACAAGCATAAGAACACAAAATCAACAAACAAAATCAAAGCAAGCAGACACCATTGGGAGGTAGGGGAAGGGAGGATGCGCCGCCAGGTGGGAGGGAGAGGGGGTGATGTGGAAGCCACGCGCAAATCCACCGTTGGGAGGTTGGGCCGCCAGTCGTGGAGGGGGTGGCCGCGTGCCGCCGATCGTGGACGGGTTCGCCGCACGCTGCCGATTGGGAAGGGGGTGGCCGCATGCCACCGGTCGGTGGAGCGGGGATCCAATGCTGCCATAGTAGGGCAGTATTGGGGCCGACGACGGAGCAGGAGGAGGCCGCGCAACATCCTTCCAACCATCCTACATCACAATAAAAACATGTTTTAGCAGGCGCAAAAACCTTACAATGACAAAGAAAGGCATAGGAACATGTTTTAGTACACGCAAAAACCTTACAGCAGCAAGAAAGACATGTAAATATGTTTTTGCAGGCACAAAAATCTATTATGGTCCCAACCCAAATCTTGCCTCCCACTTGGGCGAATGTATAATTAATAGAGAAACAATGCGTAGAACCAAATAAAAACCCTCCCCTGTGAGGGATTATTTTAACCAAAACCATGACAGCCCCAACACAAATCATTATTCTTATTTTGGGGACGTATAATTAATAGAGGAACAGTGCATATAAGGCTCCAACAATGTATATAATTGTGTAAATCAAAATCCAAAGCTTGGGACAAGACAACTAGTTTCAGCCAATGTCAGCAATGTCTTGCCGCGCATCATGGCTACCCAAATTAGAATGCTAAAAACCAGGAACATTTTTTATGCATATTAATCAACAAGCAAACTGGACTGCTAGAGCTCGCAAAAGATCAAGATTGGACCACAATTTTTTATGCAAATTAATCGACGTACAAGCTACTAGCATCTCCAAATCCACACGTCAAGAGGAGCCCAAGAGCCCCCTAAATCGCTAAGTGGGTGCATAGAAACATACATACAAGTTTTTTATCAGGTCTAAAAACACAGTTTCACAACGCGCAGAAAATTAGGCATGCAACAATAGTAACCAAGGAAAGCGAAAAATAAATTTCTAGAACTAGTTGCGGCAGTCATTACCAGAGGAGGCGCTGAACCGGAATCGTGACGGCCCCAACCCAAACAATGCATAGAACAATGTATAAAATAGTGTACCAACAATGTATGGAACTGTGTAGAAGTGTACATATAATTGTTCCAACAGTGTATGTCAAAGTGTTATAACAATGCATAGAAGTGTGCTCAACAATGTATAATTGTGTAGGAGTGCAATGATAACTGCCCCAACAATATATAGAAATGTGCTCCAATAATGTATAGAAATTTGTTCCAACAATGTATAGAATACATACCCCCCATGACAAAAAATTAAGACTTCAATTTCATTGCACATCATATAAAGGAGAAGCATAAAAAAACAGTAATGAAACCAATATTAACTACATTAATGCATTAATTAAAGATTTCAATTTCATTCACATTATTATAAGGACAAACATAAAACATCCGCTTCAGAGGGCACCAAAAGTGTGAAGCAATCACATAAAAATCATCTCTCAGCAGTAAACATGTTGACAGGCACAAAAAGGCATATGCAACCATGCTTGCTTGCATTGCTAGCTCTTCATTTGCCACAACTCCATCTTTCTGCAAGGCTCCAACTAAATCGAATCAAAACATAAAAATCCATGGCATAGAAATTGTGGCTCAAAGAAGCATAAAAAATCGGAAGCGGACCTGTGGAAGACATCCTTGACCGTGCCACGCCACCAGCCGCCATCGCCGATTCGCACCATGCGCCGCCGCCGTGGACCACTGGCCATGGAGGATTTTTGAACGAACCGTATGTTTTATTAGTAGGCACAGAAACCTTACAAATAATTTCTTTGCATCCCAAATAATTAAGATTTCAATTTCTATGCATTCAAAAATTAAGATTTCAATTTTATTCACATTATATGAAGGATAAGCATAAAGCATCCGCTTTAGAAGGCATAAAACATTTTTATGCAGCAAAAAACATAATTCACGTGCATCAAAATCGACCTATTCCTCTGTCGTGCTAGCCGCACTCATCCATCCTTGGTGCCGCAAACTGGATCCCTGCAATCCAACACTGTATGGTGGCAGAGCAACATGAGCATGAGCTTCCATGGAAAACAAGAAAAATTCAAGAACACAAGCATGCAATTTGTACTTCCGCAGGTCCACACCCCGTGCCTCTACTGGATCAGGGCCAGCCTGCGGCTCACTGTGCTGCAAAGAGCCTGCACTTGAGGCAGCTTATGTATGCCGAGAAACTTTTGCATGCATGCTATGAAACAAAAATTTTGTATGTGTGCATAGAAATTTTGAGCCTGCACTTGGGGAGAGCAACACGTACAGTCTAGTGTTGGAGACACCACCGCATCAGGGAGAGAGGTTGAGCATAAAAACAGTAGCACAAACACATAATCAACAAACAAAAACAATGAAGGTGAATTATGCACGAATCACAAACATGGATCTCTGTACCTTCTGCTAGGATTCAAATGCATGAGGAGCAAATCAGACATCTGAGCAATTGAATCAAAGCAAGCAGCCACCCTGAAAACATCTATCAGATGAGCAGCAAGTCAATTCATCAAACACCAGCAGGGCATGTCATCGAGGCAACAATTACTCACCAAATCGTAGGTGCAGCTACTTGGTCGAAGAGGCAACGGTGCGGAGGTGATGACATGTAGGTGCCCCCGCCATCCCCGGCTGGGCAGCGTGCTAGTGAAGACCGGCGAGTGCGCGTGCCGGGAGCTCACGGCCACCACCCGCCCCACATCGCCTTGCACCTCCACGAGCAGGCCCACGCGCTTCCAGTCGAGCCAACCAACGACGGTCGCGTAGGGGAGGGGCCTTGCTCGGCCAGCCAACGGCGGTGGCGACGCGTTGTGCCGGCCTGCACGGGGCCCGCAGCCGAGGCGACCCACGGGGGCTCGCCCCGAGCAGAGCAGGGCGCACGGCGTATGCTCCGACTAGAGCCGCGCGAGAGCACGCAAATGGGGGTTGGGGTACAGAGGCTGGGCGCAGGTGGGGCCGCGGGGTGTTGATCCGATCGAAGGGAGCCTGTCAACGCAGGACACAAGCAGCCGGCGAGCTACAATAGCCGGATCCGGTCGCAGCGCCTCCTGCAGGCCTTCTTCTCCGTCTTCTCCGGTCGCTTGGGGCGGGGACCCAGTGGCCCTCTGTCGTGCGGTATCCAGCACCGCCGACGGCTGCACCACCATCGAGCGAGCCCCGTTACCCCACGTGCGGACAGGCGCGGACACTGCCAGCCGTGGCCGGCCGGCGAGTCCACCCTGGCCCTCCCCTTCGTGAGCGCGGAGCTGCAGCCGCGATCGGCCTAACCCTCGCGCGAGGCCCTACAGTAGAGCCACGACGCTGGCACTGTGGCCGCTGCCAACGAACCGCTCGGGAGAAAGCAGAGGGGGCGCCGGGATGCCGGAGCTGCCGCTCGCTCAACCGCCTAGAAGCCTACAGCGCGGCAACGCGAGGTGCCTAGAGCCGCCAGGGCGAATTCAAAATGAAGGTTTTTTTAATTCACGCCATTACAATTATTCGAATTTGGAGAGACGTCATTACAATTCGTCTATTTAGAGAACTGCCATTATAATTCCATCTCTCCCTTATCCATGCCATTTTCTACACCTCCTGCGTATATGGGTCCACTGTCAGACCCGTATTCATACAAAAACACGTACACGAACGTGTATAGACGTGTACAGGCCCACTGGACGCGCACGGCAGCTTCCGCGACGCCCTGGTCGTGCTCACCGCGCTTCAAGCCGAGGCTCGTGCTATGCAAGGAGGAGCTGGTCCGGCTGGCATTGGCCGCGTGCGCGCTCCGCCGGTCTACGCGGGACCTCCTGTGGGTCGCGTCCTCGGCACGTGGCATGGCCGCCAAGACCTAGCCCGCAGACCCCCGACAAGACCCCGCCCGCTCCGATGAGGATGTGTTGTTCTTGCCAGACTTGCGGCTAGCGACCGTCTCCTTGGCCTGACGGAGGATCTCGCGCGCGTGCTCCTTGGCGGCTGCCCTCTCGTCCTGTCCACGGCGGTTGCAGGCACCATCCTTCTTCTTGCCGAATGCGGTGGCGGCGGACCAGGACGTGGGTGTGCTGGGCATGGATATGTAGTGCACGACCCGATCGAGGACGTTCTCCTTGAGCGCCTGCAGCGACAGCCTGGACCTGTCCCACGACATCATCGTCTTCATGTACGACGACATCACGGACAGCCCGGACAACCCTCGAGCGACGTGTACGTGGGAGTCCCAAGGACTACATGGGCAAGGACATGAATGTGAACGTCAACAACTTCCTCGCTGTCCTGCTTAGCGACAAGTCTACATTTATCTTCGAGAGCCTCCTACCAGAGAACATCGACGTGTACACGACCACGGCGGGGAACGTGGAGGAGAGCAGCTGGGGCACCTACTGACTCGGCAACGACCCGGATCCGCCGCCCGAGTTCGACACCTGGCTCGAGGGCCTCCACAACATTGCGTGGATGGACGACAGCGACGCGGGCGACCGCCGCACCGAGTTCACTGAGGCAGCAGTACGAGACGGTGAAGGACCAGACGTCGGCGCACAGCACCTCGCCGAGCAGAGCCTCTACATGTTCTCATGGGCACCGACGTGAAGGGCCCAGGGTGCTCGGCATTGTGCGGCAGCCCTAGACGACCGAGGACGAGCGCGGCCGCTCCGCCTCGCGCGCAGGCCGCAGTGGGCGAGCGCCGCTGCTCCGCCTCGCACGCTGGCCGCCGCAAGCGTGCAGTGGGCTGTACGTGTGTTACTGTATACATACGTATCCGACAGTGGCCCATGTACGCGAGAGGTGTAGAAAATGACACCGATGGAGGATAGATGGAATTATAATGGCAGTTCTTCAAATAGACGAATTATAGTGGCGTATCTCCAAAGTTGAAAAATTGTAATGGCTTAAATCAAAATAACCCAAAATGAATGGTGGGGTGAGGAGGGCTGGTCGGCTAGAAGGGGCTCGCGGTTGCTGGTTGGTTTGGCAGCTCAGGAGGTAGGGCCAGGTTGGTGGATGCTGGTTCGGTGGAACCAGGTAGGTGCGTTTCGGGATGGGTCTTTCGCTAATTATAGGAAGCCCTAAGCTCCCAATAACATATATAACATATTATAATTGTTAGTAGTCCTTTTATTATATATTTGATTAAAATTGAAATTGTTTGAGTTCTCAGAGCATCTCCAAGAGTTTTCTAGATCCCTTCAGAATCCTTGGTTTTTAGCAAGATGGAAAAAAACCCCTCTTCAAAAACTGCTAATCCATCCTTCTAATCTTTTAGAACTTGGGAAAAGTCACAATGTTCCACGTAAACTTACGCGCTTCCGAGTCGCGCGTATCTTCTCTTCCCGCGCGTGTTTGTCGGCCACTCTAAAGGTGGAAGGGGCCGAAAAGAATAAAGAGTAGGAAAAGGTTCCTGATACAAATGTACAAAAGAGAAACAATATATAAAAATGGTTAAGATAATTCAGAAATAGTATAAGATTTTTTGATGTAAAATTGTCTCCTATATTTTAGGAATTGATTATTAGAAACTCTTGGAGATCGTCTTGTTTATTTCTTTCAATATTCTTTTAATGAGTCGTAAAACTCCATGCTTTTGAGAAGAAAATATTAGGTATTCTTGAGATGCTCTATTCTTTGGACAAAGTGAGTCGTCGATGTGGAGTATGAATGCATGAGTATGGTTTCGTTCGCTTCGCTGAAAAAATAAGCCAAAACACTGTTTCAGCTTGATTTGTTGTGAGAGAAAAATATTATTTCGGCTAAAAAAACAACTAAAAAATGCGGATTATACAGCAAAACAGCAACGTTTCTGCTGTTGACCTCTTCTACTCCTACAGGAAAGGACAACTAATCTTCCCTAGGATGCGGTGGACGAGGACAGGTTGACTGTTCTTCGTGTCGGATAAAGGAACCATGCGGTAGAATCTTCTATATGCCCCTAGGACACAGGTCATTCTTGCACAAGTCAACTTTTTTAAACTTCAACTAATTATATATAAAAAAAATATTAATATTTATAATAGATAATTAGTACTGTTAAATAGATCATTGAATATATTTTTTTTATAAATTTATTTTGAGATATAAATCTTAAACATATTTCGTATAAACTTAATTAAAGTTAAAAATATTTGATTGACACGTATCCTATATTATCATTCTTTTTTGGTACGAGGGAGTCCACTAGTACGATCTGAAGGACGAATTTGATCCCGTCAAACCAATCAGACGTCCGAGATCATCCCTCACTTACTCGGCTCACGCGGCCCCGCACGAGAAAGAAAGCCAGGCAAGGCATGTAGCCTTCAAATTCCCAACCTCTTGGCAATTCACACCCTCCCCGTCTCCTCGATCGGCGTCCCGTCCGCAGCCATGGGTGGCCTCAAGCTCCGGCGGCTCGCATCCACCTTCCTCTCCCCGTCCCCGGGTCCCGCATCCCCGGGCTCTGCAGCCGACGCGCACCACGCGGTGTCGCGCGCGACGGCGCACCACCCTTCCACGGCCCCGCCGTCGGCGCACCACATGGACGCGCTCCTCGCCTTCGGCCGGGGCTCGCGCCTCTCCGCCGCGTCGCTCGCTGCGGCGCTCGTCGACCGCCTGCGCGCCGCGGCTTCGGGGCATGGCGACGCCGCCGTGGCCCTCAAGTGCCTCGTCGCGCTCAGGGTCCTCCTCGCGCGGGGCGCGTTCATCCTCCGCGACCAGCTCCTCGCCGCGCTCGTCCGGCACCCGGCCTCCGGGCGCAACCCGCTGGCGCTGTCCTCGTTCCCGCTCGGCCGCTCCTCCTTCGCCGCCGCGTCGTGGGTCCGGTTCTTCGCGCGGCTCCTCGAGCTCCTCCTCCTGCTCCCTGACGCCTCCGCCTCCGCCGACGACGCCGAGTACCTCACCGCGCTCCCCAACCCGCACCTCATCGCCGAGCTCGCCGCGTTCGTGTCCGTCGCGGACGCCGTCCGCCAAGCCCCGCCGCCTCCGTCCTCCGCGGGCCCACAGCCCAACGCACTCATCTGGGAGGCCGTCCGGCTCGCCGACGAGGACCACGTCGCGGCGGAGCGGAACATCGCCGCGCGCGTCCAGGAGATGGGAGAGCGCCTCGACACGCTCTCCCTGGCCGACGCCGTGGAGCTAGTGTGCGTGCTGCGGCGGATGGAGGAGGGTGCCGCGTCGGCGCCGGCCCCGGAGTGGAGGAAGTGGGCGGGGCTGGACGAGGGCGTCGTGTGCGCCGCCCGGAGCCTCCGCGAGCGCGCGGAGGATGTGGTGCTGCGGAGGACGGTGGAGGAGAGGCGCCTAGTGCGGAGGGACGCAGGGGGCAGCGCGTCCGCGCGCGTCCACCTGCCGATCCGCGCCGCCGCTGGCGACGGCGCCTTCCGCCGGTTCGGGTCCACGAGGTGGGCTGGCACAGTTTCTGCGTTGCGTAGACCGTAGACGGTAGGACAATGTGTATAGTGTATGGTTTTTTGAGTTTTTCTCATGGTTCACTCAACACGTGTTTCAAATTCTCGTAATTGTGTGGTCAAGTTTTTGTAATTTTTTTGTTGTACGCTTGCTATTTGTTTGATGCAAAATGAAATGGTGTAAGTATTGGGCGAAACGTGAATGGAAGTGCTTGCTGTGAGATGATTGCTCGATTAAAAATCAGCTTGTTGCTCACTTTGTGATTTGTGATGGTGAAAGATCTGCAAAGAGGGAACCATGCATTAAATTAGGCTGAGGCGTGTAGTACTTTGCTGCTTTTGCGGTTAATCGATCAGCTTACGCAGTAGAAAATGATGCTTTGGTGGCGTGATGGATGGATGTACAAAAGATGCAAATGTAACTGCTACTCCCGGTGTCTTATATCTTCCAGTGGACTCGCGTTGCAAAGTTGCAATAAGTAACATTCTGAATTCCTGATGTCGACCTGCCATACCAAAGATAGGATCATAATTAGTTCATTAGTTGTAATCCAGTGGTATCTGCATATCCATGTAATTTTTGACTTTGCTGTGCAGCTTTGGTATAGTTGAGTGCCGAGTGTCGACATCAGCAGATTACTAGTAGGTTACAGCGAGCTTGTGCACTTTAATCTTCTGATTCTGACAGGCATGTGTGCTCACCTAGGTGCATTATTGGCATGGACTTGCTAGTTTATCTTGCAGCCTTCCTATAAAACCACATACTACTATGTACTCCTACTTCGGTGCGCAGTGCCCTCCATCGTCGCATCGCTGTTGCTCTCCAGATATCGATACAACTCTTTTCTAGTTATGTACGCACTTGTAGATGCACAGGGTGGTATACCCTTCATGATCTGTATTCTGCTCCTACCACTAACCACCACGCAACTCGTTTCCTAAATACTTATATTTTTTGCTGACGGATCACCGGCTTCTGATCGATCGATTTTCTCGTTGAGCCCCAGTTGCGTATAGGCAACCATTGACCCTGACTCTAAAAGGAGAGACTGAATCCTTAAGCAAACAGCGATCGACCAAGCTCAAGCTTCAGAGAAGAAAGAAAATATATATGGTCAGTGAAAGCATGAGCCCACACGGCTGAGTGCAACCGGAGTCGAGACCTAAGGTGACGTCACGCATGACGTGACAAAAGGCCGTCTTCGACTACCCAGGGCTGATGTGTAATCAGGCCCGTTTCTTCATTCCGTGTGGTTAGCATCCGGACGCCGGCGTCTGCTGTTCCATTTCACGTGAACCCACGCCACCTCCGCGCCACCTGTTCGGACGCCCGCGCCACCTCCGCTTTGCGCACCCGCACCGCCATCCCCTTGATTGTGTCGTCTTGGGAGGCCATCACCTTCAACTGCATCGTCGTGGTAGGTCGGGTGCCGGAGCTGCCAGCAAACCTCTTCAAGATTATTCATACCTTAACCGCGTACTATGTACGATCAAGATCGAAGTAAAAATAGCCGATGAAGCATAATCCGTCGCTTAGAGTAAGAGACATCGTGTTGTAGTAAAGCAAACGACGAACTGAAAGGAAATAAGGCCGATCTAAATCGATCTCGATCGGACGAATTGATGTTGCTGTAAACTAATAACGATGAAAACATCAGCAAGATCGGTAACTTAATGAATCTACCCGAAGGACGCCACCCTTAGATAGAGCCGATAACTTGACCTTAATCTAGTTCGAGCAGTGGAGGTCGAATTTGGATCGATGCAAAATTAATTTGATCTAGACAAGAGTCGATAACTAGCTTATACTAGAGTCGCGATGGAGGTCGACCGGATCGATCAAACCGTCTGCGAGTAAGTATAAGCTATGACGGTACTTACAGACAAGCCGAAGGTCGACCGGACCGATGCAGCCCTGCTCACTGAAGAATTCGTCGAGATCTACTCTACTTCTACTCCTAAGGGTTGACTGGAGCCGAAAAAGTAAATAACTTCTATTTAATTGATTGTGTCCTTTACAATAGCCGGGGTCCAATATTTATACCCGGGGCTTAAACATGAATCCTACTCAAGTACGACTCATTACAATCTTTGGTATAAAATAAAATATTCCTAACTTAGGATAACTTGGACCCTAATCTTTTCCTTTTTTAGAGTCCGACATGTATTTCTTGACGCCAACCGTAGCTCGTTATTGTTATCTGTTGACGTCATTCAAAGAGAGCCGATTCCAGTGTCTCCTCTGAATCAGCTGATATTGATCCTCGGGCCATCGAGTCCTTGATTGACACAATTTTGGAAGTTTCGAGTTTCCGCGTTCTTCTTCCCAAATTTTGGTGTAAACACATGCCCCCCAATTTTAGGATAAAAATGATTTTATTCCAAAATTCCTCTTTCTCCGTTTACCATGCCGTAACCGTTTTATTCCGAGATATACGCGCGACTCCTGACTTCCCAGCTGAGTCTTATATAATATCCCAATAGTATTTCTTCCAACTTACTCGGCCTTTTTGTTTTCCCCTTCTTTCTCGAGTAAATCTTAACAGCCGACGCCGCCATCGCCAAAGCCTCAACCCTAGCGAATCTTCCACCCTATCAAGCTTTTATTCAAGCGGTCTTCCTCACATTCAAATTTGTATCGGCTGTAATGGCGACTAGCGACCATGTCCCCGAGGTATGTTTTCAAGTTCTCGTTCCCAAAGTGACGGTCACTACCCTGTATTTCCTTGTTTCTCAAATTTATTTTATCTGATTTCTAGAAAATGAGGAACGAAATTTTGATTCCATCAGCTGTTGCTTTCAATGTTTATTTTCTTGGGCCTATGGGTGACCCTGATCCATCTGATTTTGTCCATCAAGAAATCAACCAAATCCCCTTCAAACAGTCCGCAGGTGAAACTTTATTGGCCAAGGGAAACTCCAACAGGCAAGAGGCCAAGGAGCTGACACAGCTGATTGATCATTTGAAGAACTCCCTCAGGATCGACCTAGAATTATCTCAACTGAAAGTCAAGCGTGCAGAACTTGAGAAGGAGCTAGAAAACGTGAAGGCTGTCATTGATCGTCATAAGTCCACCCTGGCTCAAATACCCGATGCCATTAAACAAAAGAAACAGGAACTGCTGGTCAAAGTCAGAGAAGGCGGAGCCATCTGAAGTAGCCTCAAGAACATTCCTGGATCAGCCGAAGAAGATAAGCAACAAATCGCAGAAGTTGATGCTATTCGACTAGAAGTGTTGAAAGCAATCCATGATGTTCTAGACTTGTAATTCGTATATCATATATCTTGTGTAGAATCAATGGTAACCATACTTTCTGTCACCTAACTGTACTTCTTGTTTTCAGCTAAAGAGCCGATTTAAAAATAGCCGATTCTAGACTTCCAACCTTTATCTAATTAAGTCTGAAAACATAGCCTTTATTAAGAGAACCCCTTGATCTTCTATCCTTAGTCACCCAGCGCTATATTCTCTTCGGCATTAGTGAAGTGGCGCTTCGCCTTCTATTAATTGTGATTGCCTTTTGCATGTCCCGAGGCGTCCACTTCTTCGCTCCGTGGCTTTAAATACTAGCCGAGGGCCACGGTCTCGAACACATCTACATTCGCAACCACTCCTGTTCCTTTGCACTTCTCCGCCCTCACAAAAACTCTGTAGCGGCCTTCTTCCCTTTCTAGCAGATCCAATCAACTCAATGGCCAGCGAAGCACAACCAAGGCAAGCGTGCAGCAGAGGAGATCCCGGAGGAGAATATGCCGGTGAACCAGCGCCTCTGACGCATGAGGTGAGATCAAAATCTTTTGTTCATGACAATGAACTATTCTAACTTGCCCATAGGTTTGTTTTCAATGACAGTCTTCGTCCTCTTCCCAGGGCCGACGAGCCCTCTGATGCTGCGTCTTCTACGCCGGCCTCGTCATCGAATTCTTCTGACTCCTATGACAACGACGACGCCTGGTGTTTCCTCCGAGTGGAGGGTGGCTCAAGACTGTTACTCCGAGGTGACTCGAGAAAACAACCAGCTTGAGATCCGTCTCGGGGTCTCCCAAGCTGCCCTTCATGCTGCCGAAGAAGAGGCCAATGCCGTTCGAGCGTGGCTGGCCAAATCCGACGCCATGGTGGTGGGTAAGATGAATTCCAGGAATGCCTTTATTCTGATTTACATTGCCTTTATATTGATAGCTCTCCTGTTTCTGTGATCGCCAGCCCTGACGATGCAGTTGGAGTCCCTTCAACTAGCGGCGAATGTGGCCGTAGATGCCCTCAACGCTCGGGGCCCCCCTCATCAACGCCCGTCTCCATGACGTCTCGGCCCACGTCCAGGATATTGCTCTCCACGGTGTCCATCACAGCGCATCGGTGGCGCTGGCTGCGACACAAGTCCAAACCGGGTACAAACTCCACGCCATGGAGACTGGCTTCTCGATGGGCGACGGCCCCGAGGAGCATGAAGATCTAATCGAAGAATTCATCGACGCGGCTGAGGCCATTGTGGACATCACATCTGCTCAGGATGTGGTGAACAAGGTCTTTAATTAGTTTGTACTTAGGATGAACTAATGAACAAAATCTCTTGCTCTTCCATGACCGTGTCTTAGTGCAATGCCCTTGTATATGTCATGACTATTTTATGTTTTTGCTTTTGCTCTATAGGCGATACATATCGTATCGTCTTTCACATCTTCAGGTTTATTTTGAGCTAAAGGCGATACCTTTCTGGTACCAGCTATTAGAGCCGATGACTAAACGAATCGGCTGTCAAGTGTTGATCAAACGCTAGGATACTATCCCTTCAGATATTTTTCATCGATTGATATTGATAGGTTGCACCAGAACTTTTCAGACCAAAGGTTAAGCAATCGATCGATTTAAGCCAAACATCTCATCAAGCACAACAACCTCTAATAAATTTATCAATTATGGCTGGTACTCAGGATCCGATTTAGCGCTTACACACATCGGTCTAGGCTTATCTTTATGACCAATATTTATTTCCCCTAATTCACCGACCGACGCGAAGCCATGATTATCC